ATGCGTTTTATTCGATCTTGACAAAGTAAGTGTCACTTGTGTCTTGTGTTCTTCAGGTGAACACCCCTTATGGAGAAAAAATCTGTATCTGAAAACTCTGAGTAGATATGTGCACAATCGATCATATTGAATTTAGTACAAAGCACATTTATTTTGTTCAAGATAATTAATCTTTGTATTTGATCCAGTGCCAGTTGTATATGCCATTTTCATTGAATTAAATTTCTATTTGGGGATGGTACGAAAGTAATCAAAATCTTGGTTATGCACTCCAAAATAAACTACCTGTGTCAAATTCCTGAAATAGTGGTGACACTCAGATCAAGTTGTCCTAAAAAATTATTAACCGAACATCAACCAAAAACTTTCCAACCATTGGTTGGAAAGTTGGTAATTGGTTACTTTTGGAACATGCCCTTATTTTTTTTCGATAGTTAGGTCAAAGTTATATATGTGACAACTGGCAGTAATGACAAATATGAAGACAAAGTAGTCAATAAAAGCACTTCAGCCTGTCCTGTTGAATATAAATATGCAAAGTTAGATTCAGGAATTTGTACAGATTATCTGTTAATGACGTTGACTTGATGTCGGGATGAATATTGAAGTTCTCATATATGCGAGATGGACTTCAAATGTCCTAATGTATCAAAATTTGAAACCCGGTTATTGGTTCAGTTGCTTGATTAATCAGCGTTTCAATGATTTAACCTCTTCGTAGATGAACCAGATATACCACTTTGACAGATATTTCGTACAGTTTGATGGTACTTCACTAGGAATCGAAACTCACTTCTATTAAAAAAAAGTTTCGAACGCAATATTCGAGCAAGTACATATCTGTTCAGACTGCTGATTTCTACGCAATATTCAAATCCACTACAAGGAAAAAACACCTCTTTCTTAAAAAACTTGAGACGTTTCCTAGAAATCCTGAAGAAAATCTAAATCACTCAAAGAGATCATCTACTCAGTTTTGACATATAGGTCATTCACACCATCGTCTTGGTGAGAAAGACACTTTAGATTATCTTCAAGAAGCTATGGAGAAGAAGATTTGGCAACCAAAAACTACTTAGCAGTAGAACAATTGTAGATTGTTACATTCAACCCAAAGGTATAGTAAACACCAAATCACAAGAGACAGTACCCGAATTTCGAATCTCACATCGGTGGCATTGGTGAAATAAGAAAACCATTAAATATTGTCGACAGACCCAACGGCGGAAAACAAGAAAGTTGGGAGTAGTAGATACAGTCCAAGTCGACACAAAATCAAGTGGTCCAGAACAGAAATAATTCATAAGGAGGTTTAAGCATAAACTGAAAATGTTGCCAGCATTATGGAAACTCAATTCGAACCAATGTATAAAAACAACTTTTTTATCATAAGGAAAATTTGGTGGCTGAAATTCACTCAAGTGGAAATCTCGCCCAAAACTGATCTGTAAATGATCTCCTGTTATCCGAGCTAGTTACTCATGACTAATAATTGTCATGAAGTAACGTAGTTTCACCATTAGACAGGTTGGGTCCAAACCTCCAACAAATTTTCACCATGTGTGTCATAAATTAGTTTGTTTTTGTCCTAATTGAAATGGGGGATATTTTTAGGAGTCATTATATATTTTTTAACTTTTTTGATTTTGCCATCTATAAAAATGGATTATTATTTCAATATTCAGTACTATAATTAGTGTGCTTCAAAATGATAAGTCGTCCAAAATTTCGACATTAAATACTTTTAAGGAGACCAAGCAAAGATATTATTAATAAATATTATCAATGAAGATCTGACATAAAATGTAGAAAGACTATCCACTATATTCCTTTCATTGTCTGAGGAGTAGAATTTGACCCATTGTCCTCACTAATAAGGGCTTTATATGAAGTTCTCAACTTCATATAAAGTTGTTTCAATTCGACAAGTTGTTGGTCCTTATTTACCAAATGACGATTATGGTGTTTGGAAAAAGTAATATCGTCAAATTCTCATTTACTGAAAAGATTTTGCATAATATTTTTCTTCATAAAACAGTTATTCTACCATAATCGATTAACACAATTGGTCTGAAATTCATGACGTTCACTTAATAAACCATCTAATATCCTTTGTTTTGTGACCAATGAATAAGTAATGAATTTGTAATTAACAATCATGAACAATCGCCAATGGTGTATCTTCGAATTAATAGAAAGGCGTATCAGAGGTAAAGCAGCGAACTATAAATTCAAGCGACATAATTTTAATTATGTATGAGCAAAATGAACAGACAACTGCCGGCCATTGTCGTTTTATGTTAATTATCGAAATACAATTTATTATATGTGATATGTGACCGATCGATACGAGTATGGATCAGGGTTCAAATTCCTGATCAACCATAAATACAAGAGAACAAGGTGCTTGTTTGAATGAGGTCACAGCCTAATTGATATTTGCATGTGATTTGGAGTTCAGATAATCAATTTGAAGTTGTGTGAAAAATGTTATACCTGTGATGAAAATGACCATCATTAGATGAAAATCGCGTGTTCACACACCAAAGGATGCTATCGCATCGTCAAACGAGTGTTGCGGTTTTGTGAACTTTTCAGTGAAAACCTCACAAATGTTTCACTTGAATAAGTTTTATATAGTTACCTATAGCCTGATTAGGTTTCATTTTCAGCTACGAAATATATTCTTACTATTTGTAAAATTGATTTATATGCACTCTTTTCGCACGTTTGAAAAATTGAACATTCAGTGGAAAATTTTTTATAGATGTGAAAAGCAAACATAAAGTTCACTCGATAAAATTGGTTTGTGAAACCCTAAAATAATTCTGGTAATCACTTACTATCTAAAAATGAGTTGATTATTTGATTAGTTTCGGAAAAACATAAGTATTTCATTATTGTCTTCGAAGAAACTTTCTGACTGATTCAGCCGTTACTTGATGAAGATCCATAGTAATTTCAAAAAATATACTTCACGATTTGATATCCACAAACTCCACAAACAAACAAAATTTGTGTGGAGATCAAATCGTGAGGTGTATTTTTTGAAATTCGAAGAAATTGTCATGACTGATTGAAAATTTGACCTTTCTACACCTGCGGAAAATTTAAAGCTACAATTTTTCCAAAATATCATTTAACTGAAATAAGACGAATGCTATAAAGTACATGAAGGAAAAATACATTTCTGGAACGATTTCAGTGATATCAATCCATTAATATGTTAAATGTTGAAATGTATTGAAATGTGTTGAAATTTTAGTCTATCTGTCGCGACTCCTAACGAACGAATCAGAAGTCCTTATAAAAAATAATGAGCATATAATAAGTCTGAAGAATTTACATATATCTTATTATAACCTCTGATATTTTCAACTTTACTGCTCGCTTTTTTTCACTTTATTTCCATCTTTGTATATTGATGAAATATTATTTTTTTATGTTCTAACTCATTTGACTGAAATATCAAATCATCTAAAGGAACAATTTGTTCAGGCCAGTCTCAACTCCCTACACTGTAGGTTAATGGATTGACACCTATCAGAAAACAACTACTCTCCTGGCTAATACCACGAAGGGCGTTGGATTATATCCGAAGGAATTACATTTTCAATTATCGGAAATCATTGACTTTATGTTGATGATAGACACAACCTTGCACTGACGAACGACCAAACAGTCCGAAACCGGTCTGCTAGTGTATTTCAATAATTGAAAATCTATTGCGGCAATTGTATCGCTAACAGCATATACAGGAATAACTTCAGTGACGAATCCTGCACTGACACTTGTCGAATATAATCCAACGCCCTTCGTGGTATTGGCCAGGGGATTAGTAGTTTTCTGAAAGGTGTCAGTCCATTAACCTACAGTATAGGGAGTTGAGACTGGCCTGAACAAATTGTTCCTTTAGATGATTTGATTTATAGCCAGTCTTCAAGTATGCCCACTGACTATATGTAATGACTGAAGTTCAAATGTCTGGATGTAGTTCAATATATACGTGGATTTTTCTAACTTCTTAGGATGTTTTTTTATACTTTCTGTGTTTTATCAGTTCTAAAAATTTCATAGTTAGACTCTTTCTCCTCCTGGTCCAAAATTCACAACAGGCGAGCCACTGTTATTTGGATTCGTAGGGGTTGAAAACAAAATCTAGATATTGGCATAGAGCAATATGAGGATGAGAAACGAGTGAAAAAATTCAACATTTCTCTTACCTACAAAATTGATAGTATATCCCACAAAGCGAAAGAGCACGTTCATATCATTGGAATGATGACCATAATAAATTACCGCTCGTCACTTTATGCCAATGGATGTGAGCGAAGAGCTTACAATCGGAAAAAATAAGAGCCTTGGGAATGGCTATGGGCTGAGACCTCATATGCCAACAGCAATGAAATGGCTTAGGGAGCTTTGGAATGTCATTGACCACATGAGAAAAACTCAGTCTTTTCTTCAGTCGCATGCTGGTGGTATTTTTGATTTTGTGGTATTTCTTTCATTTCCATGATGCATATCCTATCGAAAGATGATCCTTTCCATTCTATGTTCCATTCCAACTTTTGCTTCAGACATTTGTCAGTGCTGGAGAATCAAATCCAATTTTCATAGAAAATGAATAATAAAGCCGTTTCTGAGCGCAAATGCTATCATTGATATTACTACTATTACTGTTCTTTCAGAATGCCGCCATTATAGATTTTTATTGTGCTATCGCTAATCAAAATACCAAATCACGTATAGAAACTTACTCACGTATAGTAATAAATATTACTCCTCTACTATTTTGGATTATGTAATCAATGATATTCACCCAACACAACCAATTTATAGACTTTTAAGGGTTTATGAATTGTTATACACATTACTTTTCAGTGTTTGAGTACAAAATAGTGCAAAAAAGGTGTGATTGTTATAGTCTTAAAAACATCCTAACTGATGCGAAACATATGAAAATGAATTTGATAGGAAATTAAACAAACTCTACTCACCATTGGCTCCAAACATTGCATGATGAACATACTGGTTTTGAACTCCGTAATTGGCATTATTTCCAAGTGCATACAACTGTTGGAACAGCGTCTCCGGGTTCTCTTCTTGTTCTGTCTTGGCAACATTTCCCATCTGCATGCCAGCCATCGGCATTAACTGGAGGTGTGTGTTGTTGTTTAAATTTTGGGAAAGGTTTGTTGTGGAATCAGCAGTAACAGGTCCAGCAGCTGCTCCAGGAAGAGGCGGAACTGTGAATTCCCCTCCCTCAGGTCCAACTTCTTTGTTTTGACTCTCCAGGTACATTCTTACATTTCCAATGTGACTCTTGGTAAAGATGTGATCTTGAATAGAATACTTGTGAGAATACTTGAAATTGCAAAACCGACAGTCATCAGGCAAGGAGAGATTGTCACTTTCAGTTTGACCTAAAACTTTGTGTAAAACTTTTCCCTTCTTTTCTTTGGCTCTGGCATTCTGAAACCACACTTGCACAACTCGTTTGGGTAATCCGATTTCTCTTCCTAAGCCCTCACATTCAGCCATTGTTGGTGTCTTATAATCATGAAAAATTATTTTCATGACTTTAACTTGAATAGATGACATTTGGGTACGATATCGTTTCGACCCCCCTGCTGAATTCATTTGCTTTTGTGTGGTGCTTTGCGTACTACTAGCTGGCGAAGTAGGGTTGCTTTCGTCATCGTAAAACTCAGTTGTTTCCGACATAGTGTCACTTCTTTCATCGCATAGAGATCGTTCACTGAGATCGGTTAGAGGACCTGAGTCACAAACATTACGCTCATGATCCATAGTCACTTTCACGGGCCTGGATAAATCCACTGGTTTGGAGAGGTCTAAAGGAATCTCACCACTTTCTCCCTTTTCGCACTTTATTTCACTTTTATCGCCGTTTGACGAAGAAGTGTGTGCTTGTAATTCGCTAATATATCTCTTCATACTCTCCTCGTAATATTTCTTGATGGAACTTTCCATATCTGGATGAAGAGAAGGAAAAAGCGGTGGCATCATGTTTGGGTTCAGTGCTTGGAATTTGTTATCTCCTACGGAACTTAAACTTGGTGCAGATTCGAGACTTATGTCTTCATCAGGTATTGCATCAATGTTTATTTCCCCTCGGGCACATTGATCAGCATGCTTGGTACTCAAATGAGATTCCAAAGCAGATTTCACTTTGAATATAGCAGGGCAGAATGGACATCGTTTGTTGATTACTTGAGCATGAGCACGAAATTGTCCTTTTCTTTCTCTGGCACGAGTGTTTTGAAACCAAACCTGTACCACTCTTTTCGTTAAACCAACTTCTCGTGCAATATTTTCTAACATTTTACGAGAAGGGTTACTTTCAACTTGATATTTTTGGTACATATAATCTAGCTGTTCTGGTTGAATTGTTGTTCGCAAACGTTTATCTTTTGGTTGATCTGATGTATCGCTTTCTCCATCAAAATCTTCCATTTTCCTTTTTTGCCCCGTGACATTATTCAACATATTGATAAGTGGATGCTGCGTATTGTGCTGAGGAACATTAGTTTGTTGTTTATTGAGGTCTCCTAAATTAGCATTCAGTTGTTGAAGTTGAGCGTGTTGCTGCAGAATTCCGAATGGAGAATCAGGTGAGTAAGTAGGAAAAAGATTCGGGTTCATTAAATGAACAAGTTGGTGTTCTCTCCACAATTCGAATCTTGGAAAAACAAGGTTACATTTATCACACTGAAAAGAACTTTCCTTGTTGTCAGATGGGGAAGAGGCAGTTGGGGGATAAGTGCCTTGACTAGGTGTAGGTGTAGTAGCAGGATTAGGCTGATTAGGACTATGAGCAGGATTCGACTGCGGAGGTATATTTTGTTGAGGTGGCATCTGATGTTGAGACGGTTCAACTGTACTAGAGTTTGAATCTTCCGAACTTAAAACGGCAGCTATTTGTGCAGCAGCAGCTTGTGCCTGAGCTGATCGTTTTGCATCTTCTTCTTTAAAACAGTGTGTCTTTTGATGTCGGATAAGCTCATAGTACCTTTGGAAAACTAACAGACATTTTTTGCACTGATAATTGAGGCCTGGTGTTCGTTGAAAACGGTTAGCACCAGGCTCATCGGGAAGTCCGGGGGCAGGCTCAGCAGCTGGTTGGTTTTCGTAAACCTTTCGAGCCTTTTGTCGTGCATTCTGAAACCATACTACAATTACTCTAGGACTAAGGTTGAGTAGTTTCGACAGATATTCCAGATCATCATCCTTTGGATAAGCATTGTTTTCAAAAAATTCCTGCAACACTTTAATCTGGTAGTCAGTGAACCTTGTTCGATTAGCTCTTTTTCCGGTTGATCCTCCAGACCCTTGACTCCCAGGATTACTGTATTCTCTGCTAGGACTGAGGCATCGATTGGGTGTGAGAGGTAACATACTCTGCATATTATTAGGGCTGGAAAAGTTCTGCTGATTGAGTTTAGGTGGTGGCAGCATGGGGCTTGTTAGTCCATGATGTCCTGGTATGCCACTAATATTCACAGTTCCCGTACCAGCAGGAAGTGTGTCACCAAGTTGTGATGCAATGATTGATGTAAGTGTAAGATTGCTGGGAGTGCTTGGTTGCGATACACTCTGGTTGTCAGAGCTAGCAACGGACGTGGCAGGACTCTGCGGTGGTTGCAAATTGAGCGGCAAATTGAATAAATTCGGTTTTTCTTCGATTGTTTCAAGAAGTTTTTCATCATTGAACTTTTGTTGATCATCAATAACGTCATCCTTTGATTCACTTTTAATTTCCCGTTGATGAGACAACGGCGATTCTTTTTGTTTATTTTCTTCGATGCTGCTACCTGAACTATTTAGTTGCATGACTTTTGCCTCTCCAGTTTTTTCATATTCCTCCAAATTGAGTGTCGTAGATGGAGGATTATTGAAATTGTAAGGACTGTCTTTATTTCGCTGTCTTTCTTTGAATAAGGTGTTTCTGAACCAGTGTTTTATGACTTTAGGTGGCAATCCACTTTGTGATGCCATTTCATGTATCTGTTCTTCCGAAGGTGAATTGTTTATGTCAAAGTGAGCACGAAGAATTTTCAACTGCTCATCGGTAATTCTAGTTCTCGCACGCTTCTGGTTTACAGCAGCACTGACAGCCTACAAAAATCAAATAAATTATAATGAAAAAAAATATTACGACTTTACTGCACAGATTCATTTCTAATACTGGTCCTCCGAGTATATATGTAACTTAAATAATACCTGTCCAATGAGCCGTAGAATAATTATGATAATTACCACGAGCCATTTCTCAGACAACATTAGAAACAAACATAAAAATAATAAGTAACGATTGATTATCTGATGGAGATTCGTCGCAACGCCTTTCAAACGGAAGACGTTTTACGGGTACCTGATGGTTTTACTTCAGATTTCTGTGCGGTTAGTTAGGTCCTATGTGAGACCTACGATTTTGTAGGTACATGTGGTAGGTACGCGACGGAAAAAACAACACCTAACCCAGGTAATGCTGCGAAAAACTGAGGTGAAGCTATGAATCAACTGTGCAACATCTTCTGTTTGGAAAACTCGTCGCGAGTAACTTCCTTTATATGATTGTGGTCATCCACCATGACCACAATCAGACCGGTTTCGAATTACTAGCTGCTCGTCAGTGCCGGGTGGGTCATTTCAGGCGGAGTGACCCGTCTATATATCCCGAACATACAAAATTAATTCCTACTGGTCACAAGCTTTGCCTGCAGTTGATTCCGTAGGATGGACCACTGTCAACAAGATCCGAAAGCAACTTCACGAACACACTCCGAAGAGGTGCATATTAAATATACGGAAAAATACCAAACCTTTGACTATCGTGGCAGACCTATGATTTCGCAGGTTAATATCTGAGGGTGTATAATAGTGTATATACAGTGCGGCCCTTAAGTAAAAAATCAGATATTAAAACATTTTGTGGAAAATCCAAGTAACTGGCCCCAGTTACTGCCCCATCAAAAAAATATGGTCCAATTATAGTGTTATTCAGTATGCCAGTCCAAACGTTCATTTTAATAGGATACTGAGTGTGACCTTCCCTCATCCAGTGCGGATTTTGCGTACTTCAATACCTACAATTTTGCTGGTTCACCGTTTCATGTAATATAAACGTTGCCTCATCGGATAAAAAGAATATTTTTGGGAATTATTGGATCCCATTGACATCTATCCTGATTATTTCACAAAATTCTAATTTACGACCAGGATCATTCCCATTCAGTTCCTGATGTAGTTGAATTTTATGTGGATGGTACTTATGTGTTTTCAAAATTCTCAATACAGAAGTTTCACATACATCATCATTACCGGCTACATCTCTAGTAGTTGTCTGTGGGTTTTCCTCAAAAGATAGTAAACATCCAATTTCTTGTCGTCGTTAAGTTTTGATCTACCAGCTTTTAGAAGATCTTTGTCAGTTCCAGATTCACGTAGACTGGGAAATGTGATGGTCATGATACTTCTCATTAAATATTCTGCATATCTCAGATTGTGTTTTTGTTTTATCACCCACCCCAAGCAATACCCAATATCTCAATTCACGAAAAAGTTTGAAAATTCCTGAAGAGAGAATTTATAACAAAATACAATACAAATAATCATATGTCATAAAAAAACAACAAAAAAAACTAATGGACTAGTCACTTGTGACAGGTGTTTGTCCCGAGGGAGGTATGTTTGTATTGAATAAAATTTATTTTTTCTTGAGTATTTCATTTCAAAAATCAAAAAATACCGTCTGGCTCAATAGACAATCGGAAACCCTTTCAAACGAGGTATCACACGCTTACCATTCTCTAGTCAGACGTTTCAAAATTCACTGATCAAATGATCACGGTGATACATCTATGCAGTTGTCGCTGAAACACCAACTCATACCGGCTGATTATTTTTTCGTTCCACATAAAAGAAATTGGTAAATAGTTTCACGGTAACGAAACTTCGTATAAAAATGTGTAAATGTTATCTTCTACAACTTGAAAAGTGATAATGGGTTGAAAAATGCCGGAAAAAAGGAATTGGCTTATTTCGGTAGTACCTTTCAAATAACTCCGAAAATAATCGGAATTTGGATAAACTATAAGAGTGGCAACTTTTCCTAAATCAAACGACTTGTCCATGCCGGCTATCTTTTTCTTGAACAAAGAATATATTATATCAACATATGGAACTATTTTTCATTAATAAGTATAACTGAAATTTATCTTTGCAAAAATTACTGAATATAAGGCTCATTTTTTATGTGCTTCACAAAATTTCAGCTCCCTACTGTCACTACGAATTTTTACAATATTTTTAATGTTCGCAAACACAATACAAATTTTATATTTTTGAATAATACGAGATCTATGTGTGATATCTTGTCTAAAAATACTTTTGTTAGCAGGAAAGAAAATTAAATACACCTCCAGAAATTCGTCATTATTTTCATCTACATTCAATCAAATATTGGCTGGGATTTATTTTATAGGGTAGCAAATGGAGGATAACTAATTCAATGAACATGTTTGTTTTCCACTTATAATACATTATTTACTATCCTTTGTATAAATCATAGGTACAAAATATACATAAATTGATTAGCGACTGGACATTCTATGAAAATTTTATAGAAAAACAAACGTATTCTATTATTGCAATCTGCCAGGTTTCCTTCTCTGAGTAGAAACTTCTTTGGCGCTAAAATAAAATTACAACGAAAATATCTTGAAGAATAGGAAATACTCGCAAGTAAACTGCAGTTAAGACAATTTCGAATATAATAATAATATGAAACGTTAGTAAAATTTGAGCAATCATGGTCAATCATTGCCATGTCCAAAGCTAACTTAAATTGAAAAAGGTGATATTTTAGGGAAGATTAGTTTTTTGAAAAAAAAGTTGTTTGGTTTTCTATCTCTCCTGCAGAAAGAAAAAAAATACAATAAAAACTACACATTGTGATATATGTAAAAGTGTTGATATAAAATGCTATTTAAATGAAACATTATCATCATCAATGATGTACTGCAAAGTTTCGCCTTATCATACGGTTTTGTTTAACATCACAAGACGAAGCATTCATTTCTTTCATGTATCACATATTGTAGTGTTCCTACGAATGTTCATATGAAACTAGTTCTTTTTAAAGCACTTTCCTTTTCATGTTGTTCAATGTCCAGTTTGTATCTGAAAGAAACTTCTGTGTATGTTCTACATATCTTTATGAAAGGCTATATTGTACTCATTTCCTTCATCTTTTTCTTTGGAAATTCTAACATTTCAAACGTTTTTATTCAGCTCGCCATGTTAGTTTTTTTTGGGTCAAACTTAGTAATGGAAGAAGGGTTTGACTAGTAGAATGCTAGTATACTTTGAAAAAGATGCAAGTTCAAGATGGCCGCAGCTACAAACTACGTCAATATGGGTATCAAATGACGCGGCTTGACTAGTAGAAAAGTAGTACACTTTGAAAAAGATGCAAATTCAAGATGGCCGATGCTACAAAATGTCGTATTACACACATATAACCTTGTAATACTGAAGCACTAAATGAACTGAACAGCACGAGAAAGAATTGAGTAACAAAATTGAAAACTAAACACTTGAAAACAAATTGAGTAAAAAAATTGTTTATTTAGAACGGTTTTATTGAAAAAAAACATATACTGATAAATACCATACTGAAAAATTAGGAATAATTCGGAGGGTCCTAGGTAGCAGTCATCACACCACTCTCCTTAGCAATCTACAGTATTGATCGTTAGGCATAGCGTCACTTGAGTAAATATGTAAATACAACGCTCAAAGATTTCATTATTTTTTCATCTGATCAATAGCGTAGATTGCTGAGGAGAGTAGTGTGATGAATGCTATCTAGGAGCTTCCGAATTATGTTTTGGTTTTTAGTACCTAAATCATTATCTTTTTTTTAATAAAACCGTATGACATATTTTTTTCATTTATTTCATTTGTTTGATGATAGAAGTAGAAAGTCAAACAGTTTTCTTTGTAACACAGATGACAAGAGTGACATTGATGGTAATTTGTATCCATTATGATTTATATAGTATGTGGATCGTTTTCAATTCGATAATGAACTAAATTGATCTATCTCAAGTTAATAACTATAAACAATACTCAGATTTTCGATATCTTTTATTTTCGTAATGGTCGGATATGTATTGATTTGGATCATATCTTACTCGATGTAGAACTTTCGCTTTATCAAATCGATTTGTTGATCAAGAAAATACATGCTAATAAAAAGTTATTTTCTAGAAAAAAACATCGTTCTACCGAGAGAACTATTCACATTGTGGTGGATAAATTTAAGTCCACTGGTTCAATAAACAATCGATCAACACACCACACATACGTCGACGACAGATCTTTCGGAAACATCGCCACTGTTTATGAGAGTGTGCAGGAGAATTCGAGGCATTCGATTACGCGTCGCATAAGATTCAAGAACGTCCAATGCATACCAAAATGTCACTCTTTGGTGTTGGTTTTGGGTTGGCGGCGTCATCGGTCCATATTTCTTTAAAATCGACGTTGGCCAGGCAATCACTATCAACAGCGAGCACCTTGGTCTGAATTGGGTGATCTTGACACCAACGACATGTGATTTCAACAAGACGGCACTATGTGCCACACAGCATGGCATGGTCATCTCACGTGGAGGTGAGGTGAACTGTCCACCGAGATCGTGTGATTTGACCCAGTTAGACTTTTTCTTGTGTGGTTTTCTTGAGTCGCAGGTGTAAGCGAATAAGCCACAAACCACAGCTATCCTCCAAGGCAACATAACTAATGCCATCGATCAAATTCAAAATTGGACGTTTCTGGTGCGCCCCACCATGGGAAGCCGTGGCGGACATTTGAACGATATTATATTCCACACAAAATGGCATCAATAGGTCTTTCTAAAAGATGAATAATTTCGATATATTTGAAATAAACATAGGTAGCGCTTAATGAAATATCCTATATTCCTATACTATTAAATACTCATTCTTGTGCACTAACACTACTAAAAATTGTGCCCTTGAAACAAAATTAAATTTGATGACATCAAAATTCTACATCTAGAACAACATGTTCAAAAGATATATTTTTGAAATGATCCAAATCAACAAAAACCCATGTTGTATAAACAAAACAACAGATATTAAAAATCTGACCAATATTTATTCTCTTCAGATGATTCAATTTCGATCATGACTGAATTTTGAATAATACACGACCTAAACAAATCATTCATTACATTGATTTTGGAGAAAAAAATTCAATTTCACACATGTTATTGAAATTAGTTAGTTCTATGTGACATTATCAACGCTAGATGTTTGGAAAACTTGACAACATTATCATCAATGCTCAAATTTTTAAAACGTTTCGATTTGAAATGTTAACTCGCCTAACTTGTAAGTATGGTCAATTTTTTTCAATTCTTTTGTATTATAATTTTATTTGAGCGTCCTGAAACAGTCTCTATCTAGAGATGAAAGCTTGACGATTTGTAAGAGTAAGTTTATTTTTTACTAAAAATCTCGTTACTCTCTTCATTTCTTGATGTACATTTCTTTCAACCTCATAATTGTTAGTAGATATTTATTGTACAATTTATATGAAAAACATCTTACATTATAGAAAGTATTGATGAAGAATTCAAATATTTTCAAAAGCTTCAACAAAATGAATAAATAATCCAAATTTTGGCTGTCTGAGTTCAAGATATAATGAAGAGATGGAGGACAGAGATCTCAAAAATGCAATCCGCTGAATCGTATTTCTGGCTTATTGGCCGTCATCAGTATGTGGAAAGGTAGGCAACGCTTGGTTGCAGATCATGCAGGTAGCTGAAGCTACCTTCATGGGGACGTTGTGTTGATGGCTCCGTATATTTCTGATGTATCCCTTTTTTTAGTGCTGTGTCCCTAACTTCTTTGTTCTAATTTATAAACACACATGCACAAAACTTATGTATCCCTTTATGGCTATAAAAGTAACTTAAGAACATAGAAAGACATTCTCCATCATCAAATGTACTAATGTACCAATTTAATTGGAATGATAACCATCTTACACCGGGTCATTGAAGCATAAAAGCGCTCCAGCACATAGAATTGACCTATTCGTAAACTCGTATCATCGGAATAAGTCAGTAATCAACCAATTGTGGATACAATTTGATAGTTGTAACTTGTACTTGCTTTCTCAATATTTTATTCTTCATTGATGATATTCTTACCAAATGATTTTATTTACAATCATTCATAGACCAATTTTTATTGTCATTTCATATTTTATCATTAAATACACCTGGAGAAGTTATTTTAAAGTGAAACAAGTCATCTGTTATGTGTATCTGAGAAACCGTTCAATAAGGAGCTTATATAAAAATGATCAATAGTTTCAAAGATCAGAAATAAACTTACTCATTATGATATAAATTGCAGAAAGATCACATCGCGTTGATTTGTAGAGTTGTAATTAAATTGTTTTTTTTATCACTAATGTTAACTTTAGTCCAATCTACAAAATCTATGTTCAGTGACCACCAATGGCACCGAAATAGAAACGAAGTATATAATAAAAATTCTTTCATTGAAGGTTTCTCAGTACAAGATTGGATACTGACAACCTTGTAAATGGCCGTGAATGAAATTCGAAGCTCTCCCATCATATACGCTATTAGGTAATTGAAACGCAAATGAATAGATATTTTTGATTTCAAGCAATAAAAATATTACAGAAGCATCTCTTTAATTAACAATTTTTTGAAAGTTCAGGATATTTTGAAGTAATTCATTAGTAACTGAATGTTCTATTTATTGGTATAAGGAAAAAGAATGAAAGCATGGATTTGATTCACATGTTCTCTCAAATTTCAAAATCATCTGTCGTAAGTGCTAAACAATTATTTTTAATTTAATAATGCAATATTTGAACATAATTAACATGTAATCGGTAATTTCTCGTTATGGGAGACCATGTTTGAAAAAAAAATTTTGAAAGGAATGTAAGACTAATAGTCTTAGCAATTTTTCAATAAGATCTAAGTGACCGTTATTTGAACCTTCATAAGAAGGGGCTTTAACAAATTTTAATATTTTCGTGATGGTTATTCACTCACCATATCCGTAACACTACTTATTCGTTTAAGTACATATTCGCAAGACAGAGTCTTTTGTTTTCTCCCGAAGAACGTTTTGATATTTTTCTGAATTTTCATGAACATGGGTGAAAAGTGACATTATCTACAAATGAACAGTTGTTTCTTGTAAAATATGATACTACCGAGACTTTTACCTGATTTCCAACACAGACTATACTGGTTGTGCTATAATTCTCTGATGTACTACCATGATCACTCTATAATCCAACCTTTGTTTTGCGTGTAATGATTGTTATATGCATTTACAATTTGTCTCTTTCGAGAGGGAATATTTTCATCACTTCGTTTATTACATATCTATTGTTATTTACTTATTGGACAAGTAGGATGAATTTTCTTAATTCTAATAACGGAGATTATAGTATCACGAATTTAAAATTTTACTCTGTAGTAGATCTCAGCAAAACATTTACATCTATTAGTTTAAATATATTCCGAATTAAGTCAGTAATAGTGAACTTTAACCTTGAAAAATTCGCGATTTAAAAAATATTGAAATATCTCAATCTAGAAGCAGAATAGATAATTCATTCAAATTATTTTCAAATTGTATTGAGAAGGAAATAAAATTTGTATAGAATATGAATTGTCCCTACTTTATAATTGATATTTCATCATTAATGGCGTACAGTGAATCAAGAAAAAGGAGAACCAGTATTTTATATACAGATTGATCCACAAGTATTTTGTCAGATTTTAAGGAATGCATTTTCAGATATAATTTATTCCAATAACTGTTTGAATATATGGTGTTCCCCAAAAATATACACATTTTTCTGTCAACTGTGTCTGCGATGCATCATTAATTTTATGAGTAATTGTCACTAATATTGCAATTGCAATTCGAGTGAAGTCAGTTGAAAACAAGGCTAATATTTATTTTATGTGGCTGACATATCAATAAGCATGTTATACAAAAATCGTATATCAAAATACTCAGGGAAACATTCTGTATATAAAATGAAAGAGAATATAGACTTACCGCTTGTTGCTGCATCATAGCTTGCTGCTGTTTCGCGAGCATGGCCTGCTGATCCTGTGGCCCAAATTGTGAGATAGGATCATACGGTGGAGGCGGCATCATTAATGGTACAAGTGGTGGTTGCAAATTCATCGCTGCTAAAGCGTTTAGTCCTAACGGCAATCCCATACCCATCATCTGCATCATTGGGTTGAAATTCAACTGTTGTAATTGCATAACATTCAAAGCAGCTTGCATTTCTGACATTTGTTGGGCAAGGGCCATAGGATTTTGGGCCATACTCTGGGCTATCATTGCTTGTATATTTGCTGGAAGTGACTCTGTACTACTGGCTGGAGTTGTTGATGACGTTGGGGTTGAAGGAGCAGTGGAAACGGCTTCAGGTGGATTTTGGAGATTCAGCTTGGCATGCAAAGCATCCTTGGATTCATCTTCCTTCTCAGGGGTGACGACGTTTTCTATTGGACTGGATGTGATCGCTGCCGCCATGGTTGAAGTGGTTTCTCCGGAACTGGAAACTGTCGGCACTGTGTTGAGAGTTGATGAGGTTGCTGCGGTTACCACCACCGTTTTCTTTTCGTATTCGTTTTTGAACTGTTGAGCATATTTTTCTAAGAATTCAAGCGGCACTAAATCTTTATGAACTTCTTCACAGTGAGATTTTAACACCCACACACTAGAGAACTCTTTATTGCAATGTTGGCACGTAGATTTACTTACTTCTGGTAGGTTGGGTTCAACATCCTCCTCGGCCTTGGATTCTGTTCCATCGGTGGTGGCTGCCGCATCATTGACTGACTCTTCTGGACATAAATGGATTGAAGATGGTGGACTTTGGGCCTCACTGACGGATTTTTCTTCAGCCTCGCGCAGTTGTCTTTGTCGTCTCTGGTGACTTTCATTATATTGCATCACTAAATCAAATCCAAAACTCTCTAATAAGTGTTTGTACATATGCGAACCAGTTTTTTTTGGAACATTTAATCTGAAAGCTCCATCTTGAGAATCACCGGGAGGTGGACTTTTATCTGGCTCTTGAGATCCTTGAAAGATCGCCATAGGCGACGTATACATGCAGTACAACTGCTGATGGGCGCTCAACTGATCTTGCGAACCGAATAATGCACCGCACTTAGGGCAGTTCATCATCCCTTGACTACCTGAGAGGCCAGGTGATGGCGGGGTGGGAGAGGGTTGTTTGTCCCCACTACCTGGCGCTGGACTAGTTTGTTTGGGAGACTGCATGGCTATAATTTCGGGCTGTTCGATAAGGGGTTTGGTCAAGTCGATTTGACCGGTCATCGCCAAGTCTTGTAATTTACTCGCTCTCGTTTGATGTAATACACTTCTCATGTGAATGTCAAGAGTGCTGCCTTGTGTATACGCTACTTTACAAATATTGCACCGATATTTCTTTTTTTCATCTTCTTCAGACGATGTACTTTTTGGAGTTAATGTCAAATTTTGAGATTGGTTGCCACCGGAAATTGGCGAAACTGGCGGATTGTTATTATTATTCTGTTGTTCCTGCATGGCTCTTTTCAATTTATGCAAATGACTGACTGAATTGTAATGTACAAGTAATATGTTTTTTTGCGTAAAACTTTCTTTGCACACATCGCATTTGTAGGGCCTATTAGGGTCCAAGTATTTCTCCATTGGGTAGCTTAATTTCTCACCTTTTCTATGTAAAAGGGTTTTATTGTGAGCGGTCAAATAGCTTTGTCTTGTGAAGGCTACTTTACACCGGTGACATTTATATTTTCTATTCGGATCATTGTAACTATCCTCGGCAATGGCTTGACTGTTTAAGTAATCTTCTAGAAATTGTTGGTCTTTGTAAATTATACTATCATCAGAATTGTCGCCGTCATTTTGATTTACATCTTCTTGACTGGTGTTCAATTCTTTACTATCCTCACATTCACCAGACTCATCTTCACTGCGCAAAGACTCTTTTTTAAGAATATCATTTGTTGAACTGTCGAGCACTTGTCCTTGCAGTCCTGCCAATAATAGGGGATTATTCATCAAACTTTGTTTATAGGCGATGAGTTCTTCGTCTGTTAATTCTGAATGAACACTTTCAACGTGTTTGTGAAGAGCTACGAGTGATCTGAAGCTTCGACCACATAAAATACATTTTGTAGCATCTCGAATCATATGATATTGTGAATGTAATTGTAACTTTTCTAGTGTTTTGAAAGCTAGAGAGCACTGATTACATCTGTATTTGTAAACATGTTTTTCCGAAACAGACATATTCGCTACAGAATTTTTCGCGTGAATTTCTTTAAAATGCATTTGTAGTGTATGAGCTGTCGGGAAAAACTGATTACATCCTTTTTTCCAACAGGCATATCCAGGGCCGCTAGGTGTTTGTTTAATTTCCAAATGGCCAGTTTCAGTTTGGTGATAACATAACTCGTCAATATTACGAAAACTTCTGAAGCATGTACCGCAGCGTTCCGACTCGAACTCTGTATTATCATCGCTAACGGGGGACATTAAATCAGGTTCAGCGTCAACATGACTCACGTCATTTTTTTCAAACTTACTGGATTCTTTGGAAGACACAGAAGTCGGTGAAATCATTTGATTTGGTGATGCTTGTATTTGATTAATGGAATTATTAGGTGTTGAAGTCCTGGAACCCTGATTAAGCCAATGACTTTGATCTACAAGCATAAGTAACCTTTGAAGGCCTTCACTATTAACGGAATGAATTTGCATGACATGGCGTTCCAAATTAGAGCGGTCTTTAAAAGCATCCTGACACAGAGGGCAGTTGAATGTATTGTCAGACATAGGAGTGTTATTTGTACCGTGCTGTGCAAGAATGTGTGCTTGAATTCTCATTTCTGAATCGCTACTATAGTCGCAAAAGGGACATACATGTTGCGGAGCTCCACTTTCATTGATATTGTTTTCTTCGCCTTCTTCTCGAGGCTCAGATTTGATATTATCTCTATTTGCCTCGATTTGACTGAGTTCGGAGTTGATGCTATCTCTTCGCTCTGTTGAAGAATAAAAGAATGGTTTCAGAGGTGAAATTCAGAAGGATATTGTTACAATAATGAAAGGGATTACCGGGGTATGTTTAGTGTTTAAAACACCGGGCCTTTGCGACAATAAGAACAATTGTTTGGTCGCAGCTTTTGTATTCCAGAGCCTCAGGCGAAAAACCACGCCTTTCCGGCAGGCTTTCATTTCATAAAAAATATTACTAATTACACAGTCTAAATATTTTCGATAAAATCCCTGCAATTATTTTCCGAACATATGTTAGGACACTTGCAGCTATGCCAGGGGTGTCAGAACATATCACGAACATCCAAATAATGATAATTATTATTTACGTGAAATTCACACAATAGATATATATTGTGAATACTGTTTTGAAGTAATAATTTAAAGTACCTATTGTCTAATAGAACAAAGAATAAGATGCAACTGAAACGTTTACTGCTGTCGAATAACACCTAGTTTCTATTTTGAAATATCTGATTCAGATACACATCTGCTGGCAGATCTATTCGGTAATCAACAGAATGGATTTAAATTACATAAACAGGTACAAAAACTGCTCCAGTAAATCTTTTATACGAAGATATTTCAATATCTCACAAAATGCATCACTGGAATGGTTTTAATTTCGATAAATGATTTATGAATGAACATAACGAATGAGTTCACTTCATAGGAATACATACTCACACATACTTGAATTTTGTATCAACTTAAACAGTATCAAGTAGTATCAGTATCAAAGATTGAAAATGCTACGAAATTCAGTGTTATTGCTAATTAGTTGAAATGAAGCAGGGTTTTTTATCAGCTCACAATTTTTGAAACTGCTTTATTTTTCGTGAAAAAAAAGTTTTGGATTCCTACTTCCTCATATTTTTGAATAAATGTGGGAAACTGCCATGCTTCGAAGTCTCTTTGAATAGATCATAATTAGCACGATTAGATAGAACAAAATGAGAGCCAGACCGTGGTCGAATGGAACTCGTAGTACCGAATGTTTCGTCTCCCAGTGCGGTAGACATCTCCAGTAGTATAAACGTTGACTGCGAGGACGCATCTCGGATAATTCGAAATGTTACTCTCGAAGTCAGTCATTGTTGAGACATCGATTTACTACCTTCGCCCTCGCAGTCAACGCATATACCAGTAGAGAGTACTGCAGTGAGAGACGAAACTTTTGGTACAAGTTTCATTCGACCATGGCTTACGAGCTCGGATTCTGCTCTTTCTTATAATGTTATCTACTGTTTACTTACTGGAAAGAAAATTCAAGTGTATATATGAGATTATTCACATTTGGTTTGTTTCAGTTGAAGAACAAAAATATCCCACTTCATCGCGAAACTGAGGAAAAGGATAAACTATGAGAAGATAAGATACTATTTGCAAATAAATAGATCAAATTTGTAATACAAAGAATTGATGGGAATGAATGAAATGATGAGGGTGATGAAGAATTGTACAATACATGATATGAAACCAAAAAAACTGGGGAAGTTGTAAAAAAAATCTCAAATGATCGAAAAAATAATTGAAAAATGAAGATCTGAGAACTAAGAAACGACTAAAAATGTGATACATAAATATATTTTCATTCTATGATAAACTAACTTTTACTATTATAAAACAAGTATGAAGTATGAAGTTCAAATATATGAAGAAAAATCAATCCATTTGTTTCATTGATGAATATAAATTTCATGTACACGGTTTAAAAAAAAGTCTATTTCAAATCAATAGGTAATGCCGCTTGGTCGAACAGTGAAATTATACAAAATATAAGGTACCTATTAGTTTACAACAATCGAAGTGAAAAGATGATCTAGGCAGAAACAGTGAACGTGAATTAAAGCATTAGTCGTCCTCAGAATACTATGCAGATAAGTTTTCTTTGGTAATAAATGGAATTAGGATATTTGAGTTGATTATTAAAATGGATAAGGGTCAAGGTTGAGAGATCGTCAGGTCTAATCACGTGGGGATCGAAATATGTGTGAGGGGCTCGGAAAATATCACGAAATATTACAAGATAGAGAGAGAGAGAAAGGGATGTCACGTGTATTTGAGTTTTCTAAACGAAAAAGCTAAACATGACTTCGACTCATCAATGTCAGGCTACCATTTCCACACCCGTCGCGAAAACTGATCGGCTTGTCAGTTACTAGTAAGTCTATTATATTGGCGCCGAAAACTGCGCGTGATTTTCTTGAACTATATCAGTTTATATTTGCATTGAAATATACTTTTCCGAAGATTTGTAAGTAACCTATTTTGTACCAAAAAATACACGAGATTTTGGGTAGGTGGAGGAAGTAGTCTATAACTTCACTACTTATCACCTGGGGGAATGGGGTTAAAACGTTGCTAGAAAGATTACATGATTATTGGACGACTCTTGACACGTTTTGGTGCTTCAGTAGGATGGAAGATTGTGAATTTAAAAATTTTGGATTGCAAATATGATCATACATAAATACTGATTACATCATCAATTCTCAATTCTACCAAGAAAACTTTGTGTTGGAACGATAACTATTGAGGTTTTCGCCAGTCATTATATCTAATTATTAAATTAAAGGCGGACTTCAAAACTTTGATGAAAGGAATTCAAAATAGAGAAATATAAAGTTTTGAATTTCTCGCAGTGAATATTGAGTTAATCGACATTATGGAACATTTTGTGACCTGAGAGACAGTATTTTGTAAACATGTCAATAATTGATCAAAATACTTACCAGGTGTTTGTTGCGGTTGCTGATCCATTGGACCCGGAACAACGTGAAAAACTTCTCCCATTTCTGGACTGTTTTCTTTGCCTTCTGCTCGCCTCTGCAATAGATGTAACTGTTCCATGTGGAGATGTTTCAGAGATCTCACATGCTGTAGAAGAGGTAGTCTATTCGTAGAAGAAAAACCACACAATGAACAGTGAAACATTTTAGTTTGGTGTTGACTTATAGTAGAGCATCTTTCTTGAAGATGTTTCATTAAAGCAACTCCTGCATCATGACGACCCGCAGCTGCATGCAGTTGCAATTTATGTGCCGAATTCGTATAATAATCACAAGCGTTGCAACGAATTTGAACACCACCTGGAGCAGAAGCGTACTTTAGTTTCCACTCGTTTCGTGGCCCACCTTCTTTGACATGATTAACGTGTTGCAGTCTCTGAAGATGCTTATCAGTCTTACAATGAAGTTGGAAGTTTGCTTTTAGATTTGTCTTGTAGGTGCACAGTTTACATACATAATGACCAGCAACGACGGCGAGAATTTCTTGTTCTCTTAGTCGTGTACGGTCAAGTGCTAAATGTCTTCCGAGCTCTTCTAGACTATCCGTATGAAAAATATTACAAACGCAGCATTGATACGTTTTTTCAGGATCAGGATCAGCTGGTTCAGGTGGAGGTTCCATTGTTTCGGGGTTCAGGCCAAGGTCAGAATGAGCCGACATGTCCGCTGGACCACCATGACCAGGTAATTGACCACCAGTCATCATTTGTATTAGGAGAGCTTGGTTGTATGCCATATCTGCAAGAGCCGCTTCAGGTTTCTCTCCCAACCCAGGATACATTCCATATATACTATCCATATGTTGTTGAGGATGTTGGTGGTGTAGAACCGATAATGTCTGCATATGTTTGACATTCTGTTGCAAAACAAGCATATTATGAGTGTGTTTCTCAGATGTCATGTGGATTCGTAGATTTCTCGCAACATTAGTTTCGTAGTTGCAAACATCGCATCTGAAACTGGGTTTAGGTTTATGTCCGCTGCTCACTGGTGAGTGGTGTAATGGTGGTGCTTTTGGGGAAGCCTGACGTGGTTCTTGGTTTGGAGCTCCTCCATTTTGGAGTTCTTGCATATTATTCAGATGTTTATCGGATTGCATGTGTATACTGAGATTACCTTTCGTTGTCGTTGAATAATTACAAACTTCGCAACGATAAGGTTTGTATCCACAGGTGTAAGTCTCTCCTCTAGCTAATCGTGGGTGGGGTTGGCCTGCTATACAGTAAATACAACTAGTTTCGGCTTCAGGATGCTTCTCTTTCATATGAATTTCCAGCGTTTCTTGATATTTATAATGCCAATTGCATTTTGGACATTTAAGCGTTTTACATGAATTCCTACTATGCACATTAGCTAAACCTGCAGGACCAAGTCTACCAGATGACAGAATCATCTCACATCTAGCACACTCAACTCCAGACGGCCTACCCTGCAAGTGATCGGGGCATACACCTATCGTAGTACCGGTCATGAAGGCAGGAGGCGTTACAAAAGGTGGCGAAGGTGATTTTCCGGGAGTATTTCGTGAAGAGGAACATAATGGTGTATCAGTTAAGGGAGAAGGTCCTTCGTTGCGATTTTGTACAGAATTAACAGGAACAATTTGATTTGAGTTATTTTCGTGAGTCAACGAACTAAGTGGTTCCAACAATGACACCATGGGCCTCTTGTCGGCACCTACACACTGCAGTATTGCAGAACAGTCCGCCGCCAATACATCTCTCTCATTATCTTTCAGTGTTACACCGTGTTCAGATTGTGCGTGATTTGCGAAAGATCGTGCAAAACCAAAACTCAACTTGCAGACAAAACACATGAGGATGGGTTTAACTGGTACGGAAGCAGGCCTGGGAGGTCTAGCATCTCTGAGTGCCACCACTCGATAACTATGAACAGCTGGGAGTTCAGTTGGCCTGGCAGGCTGCCTGAGTAGCCTTGAAACATAGACTGCTTGAAGTGGTGGTACGATTTCTGGAAGAGAGTTATTTGGTCCTTGAACCTCATTGTCACTCTCTGAATCTTCAATAATATAAGCAGAACCATCAGGATTGTAGACAATCTTGCCAGCAAATTGTTCCACGTCCGAAGTATTCTCCTGCTGTGACATGACAGGTGAAGACAGGTCCGTCGGAGGCGGTGGAGGTGGAGAGGCGCCCGGGGCGGCAGGTGGTGGACTTGCCTCCTGCTCTGGGCTCATGGCTTCGGGATGACTATCCTGCCGGTCAGTGCGGCAGCCGAAACTCTGCTCAGGCGCCGCGGACAGAGTGGGCATCGCGGCGCATCACATGTTCGCCAGGATGGTGTCCTGAAATAAAATAGGCATTATATATACACGCAAACTATTTGGATACTGAATAACATGTTGACGTTCGTAATATTCTTTCATGAATCAGTAAATATTGGTAATTTTTTCAATACTTTCAAAAATTTACAGATAAAAGCATTCAAATTGGTTCATCTCGAGTCGGACTGGGAATGTAAAATTGAGCTTCTTATAATCATTTGACACTGTATCTCCTCTCGAAATTCAAAAGGATACATGTCATTGACTGATTTAACATTCTTTGTGAAGCATTGAAGTTTTTAATTTCGCGAATCATTTTGTTTGGCGATGAAGTTAATTTCATTTCTTGATATGAACACATTGATAGTGTGTGATGAAGTAGTTGAATACAAGTTATCTCAAAATAATTTTTACATCACAATTGTAATCAATTCGTATTGAATCTGTTGAACTCTGTTTTATCATCAATCAGCTGTCGCTTTCTAACGAAAGACAAACCTCAGAAGTGAAAACTGGTGCTTGCTAAGTGTTAACGGGATCTTACCTTTAGGAGTACGATTCCAAGCTATTCGATTTGAACAAAATTTGAACTCATACTCCTACGAGCACTAAAATTTACTCTCTCATAAAGTGGTGGTCATGAATAACAATTCAAATTTACAGCCACATGATGTTCTAATAATCACCCACAATAAATAAAGGAACTGCTTGGAAAAAGGATAATTCAGCAAATTATCGATAGTTATCGTTTGATTTGAGCTGTAGGCTAAATAGATTTGCAATCTGTGAGATGTTATACTGTAAACTGGGCCTAATTCTACATCATTTGCGTGCATACAATATAATTTTGATTTTAATATTCAGATGCCAATATTGTTCGGGAAAAGAGCTCGTGTGATACGGCACCAGCTTGAATATTTAACCACTAGATCGATCTTGATTGCACCGCCTCGAGATATCAATTATATAGATTGTTGTTCTCTCTAAAAACGGAATACTTAATGTATCCCATTGCTGCAGACAAAGGAATTCTGAAGCATTTACCATCCATTCAGTTTTGTTAAAATAATTAAGATTTATTGGTGTAATTATGTTTGATCGAAGTCAAAGAAAGCAGATAAAATATTATTCCAGATATTAGAAAAATATTATCGACTGTGAACGTTTGCAAATAATATATATCTGAATATTCAATTCAATAACAAGATTATATATGCAGTTGTGAGATTTTGAGTATATTTAACTTCACACGAAGATAACATTCTACTTTCTACGTTATATTCGTTCATTTTCATATCATACATACAGAAACCGCGCACACCATTGTCTGGATAAACTGATGAAGAGAGGACAGAAAAATTCAAAATATTCATCTACTATTATTCACTTGAAAACTATTGTTCACTCATTATTCTGATATTCTATGACATATACCCGTGCTAGGAATCACATTTTAAAAGGTAAAACCTCGTTGGTCCTTAGCTCGCACAAGTTTCGACTTTTGTGTTCATAGGGGGACGACAGTTAGTTGACAGAAAAACATATTTTTCAACAGATATAAATGTGTACCCGTGGGTGGATGAGACACGAAACAGTTTCTGTTGTCCTCCAGTCCGTAGAAAAACAAAATTATGGCGATAATTACCACGGGATATCGATTAGTCCAAGAACCTCGAAGATGATTAAAAAAATTATATAGGGCCGATAAAAAATACGCAGGAACCTATTAAATTCATCTTTACCAGAACGACCCATGATAAAAAATGAATCTTTTCAAATGCCCAAAGTACTAATTTGGTAGATTTCGTCGAAAAAATTCAATAATTATGTGTAATTTTGATTATAAGTAAGGGTAGAGCGCCGCCAACAAGGCGAACAAGTCATTTTTCGAACCATAGGCGTGCGTATAAATTCCCTACTTTGAATGGACTGTCAGCTATTATGAAAAACTTGACCTTGCTGAAATATGATGTCACTAGTTGGATTTATGTTGTCAGACGGAATCAACACAAAAGAGGTTTTATCAATTCAAATGGGATTATACGTGTTCACATATTTTCAATTATCGATTCTATTTTGATAATGCGATATTACAGGTAACCCAGAAGTGGAACATTAATTGAAATCAAGTAGAAGAGGTGAGTTTGTTAGAACCAAAAAATGTTAATTTCCATAATGCAATTTTAAATGTAGCACTAACCGAGATGTTTATGTGTCTGGAATAATCCGATAATTTTGATGTTACTAAAGAAGGCTCCCAGCATTACTCATATCTATGTAGTATCAGTAGTAAAATGGTCTGTTCGACTTTCATATGGGTTTTTATTGAACATATTTCAACCCGGTAACGAAGTTCAGGTCACTTGTTCAGACAATTTATTATTATGAGCATAGCCAATGTTCCTAAGATATAGTATCAGTATTGATGATAATAATTATAAACTTTCACAACAGAGACTCTATTTCCATAACTATATAGTACCATCATCAGATAGACTAGAACTTCACACTACTTCACATTACAGTTTATAAAAATTATCGACATCAACGGTTGGTTGTGAAATGTTGAATGTAGCATAATATCAATCCAATATAACATTATATGAAAAACAACCTCAGCTTCAACATATCAAATTGAGATTTAACAATAATTAGTGATACAAATATTATTGCTTTCGCGCACGCCTCTGCTCGAAGATACCAATTCTCTTTGAGTTAATGCCGTACTTGTAATTATAAATTCCCACACCATGGTCTAATCATGATGATAAGTAGGCCATTTTAATTTTTTTTACAATTTCAGTGAGATGTATACTTTTCTCAACCATGGATGTTCGAAATTGAATTCATTACATTTTCAGAACAGAAAGATTCAAAATGGTTGGATGATGTTTTCATTTGATATGATATCATAAAAATCCATGGGTAGATCGGAAGCTCTGGTGTAAAATAATTCTATTGAAATTCTTATCCCACACCATAGTGTTTGAAGACGCGCGTTTCGCTAACGAAGTTAGTTTTGGAATGATTAAAACGTTTCAGTCATCTACATTTTCATTTGGAGAAAGAAGTCCTTAAGGAATGAACTTCCCAAAATGATTTTTCCAAACGAATATAATCTTAGAGTGATTAAGATATGTCTGCTTTGCAGACCTTATGCATGTCCATGAAATAGGATGCACTGTCAAGGTGAAATACTGAGAATTCTGAATCAAGAATGATTTCAAACAATTCAAGCGAGATTGATACTTCATGAACTACATCTTACGATTTGATCTTCACAAACTTCATTTTCAAAAAATAATCACATGTTTCGCTATCACAGCAGTACACTCAAAAAAAGTTCGTTCATGAAATCAGTAACTTGTGTTAATGGATAGATATTCAAGATCAGAATAAAAATATTTTTGGTCATCATAAACGGTTTATGAGACTTCGTTAATTAATGTTGTGCATATCAACATTCACCAATTATGATCTGAATGAAATATCGTTAAGTGTTATCATGAAAAAAATTACTCGATTAAATGAACACTATTGTTTGAGATAATAAATACATTTTTTATGCCCAGAGATTCATTGTATATATGAAAATATTCAGAATAAAACAAAATTTATTAATGGTAATCATGATTATCAAATTAATCAAACCGCATTCGTATTTTTTTATGTATTTTTCCAGGTTTTTATTTTCAATAAATATATTTCACTAAATATGCTGGCAATATCTATAATTTATTGGAGCTTCTGGAGATACCCTACAAAAGGAAAATTTTATTATAGATGTTCCAATTTAAAATCTTTCTTAAAGCTGATTTACCTAAGGGAAAAGCGGTGAGTATAGAATTTGAACAGATAACAAATAACTCGAATTCAATTACACGCAACGATAAAATACACTTTTCCTGATAATACTTCTGTAATTTTTGAAATTATTTTGTATTCAATGAAGTATTCATATTACAGTACCTGTAGTACATGCGGATAATTACCTACGTTGTTTGAAATATGACAATTTAGGCGAAGACGAATTTGACAACTGCTTGAAGGCGTGTGTGAAATACCGTATTCCTCAAATCAAAGCATCCGAAACGACTACAACCATTCTACACAAACCCATCAGGGTATCGTCTGGTTTAAAATTTGTGTCCCTTGTACCTAATTTTTTCTGATTTTTCTTTATTTTTCAGATTTACCACAATTTCAATATTGTTTCGACAAAGATGGGACATAGACGGTTGGGAATTAGACCGTGAAGGAATTTTGGGTTTTTTAATAAAACATATTAAATACAAAACACTACGAGGATTACTGAAAACTCTAGCTGATTCAACGAAAATGACTGAAAGTAATGATCCTTGAAATTTTGTGAACTAAATAACTAGTCTGTATTGATTTCAGATAGCAAAAATCTTACAATACTGTCGTGCAATTATGGATATCTCTTTCCAACTAGCCTGACAGTGACTACAAAAAATAAGAAAGGTAGCACTGAATAAGGAAGCTTTTTATACGTTGGAAATTCATTTGAAAATCACATACCTTTTTTGAAAACTTCCATAAAATCGATCCAGTCGTTCATTTATGCAGTTGGTCCAGGTCTACTTCACATTCGACATATCGGTGTTCCAAAATGATATACCTATATTGCCGTATTTCATCAGTATTATAGATTTATTTTTTTCATTGAAGTACTTGCATTTCATGTAGAAAATACACTTTCTTTCAACTTGAAAAAAAAGTCTGATTTTCTTTGTATGTTACTTCTTCATTTTTCAGTGGGTTGTGTTTCTGAGAATCTTTATATTTTCAATAAAATAATAGCATGTATTCAGTTGGTATGAAAAAAATTCATTAGAAAAATACGTATTTTTGGACTTTGGCTTTCATTAGAAAAATTGCCCCAATTCTATGATATTGAATTTTTCGTACTAACCATAAACCTAATTGATGGAATACAAAAATATAACATGAATCCGTTTATACTACCAATGAAAGCTGCGTTATTGTTTTCAGAAACA